CTCTCTCCCTCCTTCCCTCCCTCCCTCCCTCCCTCCCTCCCTCCTCCCCTCTTCTCCCACAGAAGTCCCAGACAGGGCGGCCTGGGGCTCACTCCTCTCACTCAGCAGAGGAGAAAGCAGAAGCTAGGGAGGCCTAGGCTAGCCCAGAGTCACACGGCACATTGGGGGAGTGGAGACCCAGGCTGACAGGTGGACCTGAACCCTCTGCCCTTCATCCCACCATGTGGGGGGACAAATGGCCCAGGCAATCCCAGGTCCACCTTGAAAGACACATAGACAGAGGTCGGGAGAGAGAGCAAGTGCTCGAGATCGAGCTGGCCTTTGTCAGGGAGAGGCCCTGGGGTGTGGTGCGTGTTGCTGGGGTCTTCACAGGTGGCAGACTCTGCCACTAAAGTCTTGTGTGGTTGACAGGGCTGTCACCACCCATCTCACCTTTATATGCTCAGTAAGCTCAGACCTCAGCCCCAGGCAGGATGTTCAGTCCTCAGCATAGACGTGGGTCAAGGGTCAGGGGTCACTCTACTCCTTGGAGTCACACTTCTCTCTTTCCTGAACAGGTCAGTGAAGAAGGTGACACATGACAGAGCAGGCCAGTCCACCCTGATGTCTACATGGCTGTAGCCTCCTGAGAGTCTATGACAGGACTGGAGGAGGAGGACCATGATGACCAAGACGAGAGGAGAAGAAAGAGAGGGAGAGAGAAAGAAAAGGGTAGAGCTGGCGATGGCGGGTAAAGGTGCCTGCCTCCAAGCCTGACCGTAGGAACTCCATTCCTGGGACACACGGTGGTAGAGAAAGCTGACTGCACAAAGCTGTCTTCTGACCTCCACATGGACAGTTACCCTCCCCCGGTGATACACACAAATAAATAATTTATTAAAAAGGGGGAGAATGAAAAGGAGGAAGAAGGAAAGAGAGAGAGTAAGGAAGGAGGAAGAGGAGCAGGAAGAAAGGGAGGAGGGAGAAGAGGAAGGGATGAGGGAAGAGAAGGAGGAAAAGATGGTTCTTCTATCCTCTGCAGATAGCCACAGGAAGCAAAGAGGCCCACTTCCAGGGGTCCCTTTAGAGGGCTGGCTGCCTTTCTGGACCTCCCTCTAACAGAGGGGGCAAAGGACAGTTTCCATGATAGAAGGCTGCCCCAAACACTGCCATTACCGACTCCCCCATGAGGCCGCACACCAGAGAGAGGCCGAGGCCCCGGGACACATCCTCACTGCTCACTGCCCCAGCTATCCCAGGACTCAGAACTGACCGTCCTCCTCTTTAGTTCAGCACAAGCACAGGGGTCTCAGCTTCTCAGGGTCACTGAGGCCCTTGGTCAGCTGGCCTGGCCTCTCTCCAACTCTCCCCACTCCAGTCACATGCCTATCAACAACCTCTGCCTGGGTCTTCTTCCTGCCTTCCCACTTGACCCTCTCCTAAGCCTTCCAGACCCACCCTGGGGCCTTCCTTCCAAGGTTCAGGGCCAGCCCATGACTCTGGTGGCACTGTACCCATGGTCAGGGCTACACATCTGCCTCTTCTCACCCTCCAGCAAGTAAGTTCCCTGAGGGTCACTGGTCCCCTGCCCCACATCCTCACTCATGCATAGAGCCTGTTGGAAGGAGGGATGAGGGACTGGCTAGAGAGAAAATTAAAAGAATGACAGCCCCTCCTGGGTGCCTGAGGATCTGCAAGAGTCTACAGGGTAGGAGGAAGGCCTTCTCACCGTAGACTTTCCCAAGGTTGGCTTTCCCGTGTTCTGGACCAGGTTTGGGGCCGCTGTTACCAGCCCCTCCCATGGTCCTTCTCACATCATAGCTCTCTGCAGCTTGTAATGGGCTATCCTTTCTAACAGATGGGACAACTGAGGCCTGGGGAAACAGACTGCCCATAACACAGTCTCTGTCTGTACGTCTCCTGAGCCCTGCCCTGGCCTCGGTGCCATCTAGGAAAATAGGAATGCATGCAACAGGACCTCTGTCCCTCTCAGAATCAGCCAGGACTCTGGGTTCTGCTGGGACTGCTCACAAGAAAGGCCATGCGGTGTCCCAGAGACAGTGTGCTGCTCAGTGGCTCAGTAGCTGGCCCACCAGTCTGCATCCACCTGTGTGGCTGCTCTCAGGTGCCTCACAAAAGGCTGCAACACACACGTGTACACATGACAAAAAGGTGGGTGGGAAACAGAAGACAGCGCTTGCCCGACATGTTGGTCCTGCAGGATTGCTCCTCAGCTGCAGCTCCTGAGCCTCTGGGGGATTATGTCCTTTGGCCATTTACACACACACACACACACACACACACACACACACACACACACACTTCCTCGTGATACTCCCCAGACAGAGGGTAGAGTAAGATTATATTTATACCACCTGATGCCTCAAGACAAACCTGTTCTGTCACTCCAGAACTGGCTGCATTTGGGGGCAGGGGCACTATAGGATGCCTAGAAACTTCCAGAAGGCAGAGCTCAGCAGAGAGAAGGATCCTTCTTTCTCCCACAGTGTTCTGGCTCTACAAGCAGACAGAGATGTTCCTCCATCCGTATTCGGAATGGCCACCCCGATCAGGACAAAGGGTTCTGTCACTCTAATGAGTGACAGCATCACTGTGTCTGAAGAGTCACCTGACAAAAGGCAGAGGCTGTTGCCCATACCCATTTGAGATATGCCCTCTTTTTTATGCCTACTGTGGGAGTTTCTAGCCTCAAAGCTGCTGGGATTCCAACAGTGGAGGAGCCAAAAGAACCTTTTGGAAAGGTAAACTGAGTCAATAGCCACATCCAGAAATCTTTCTTTAGAAAACAAAGCCCTTGAGTGACAAGTCTTGATTCAGAGAGGCAGATGGAGTCCCAGTTGCATGGCAACCAGCACTAATGAAGCCATCCTTTCAACCCCTACAACATATCGTGCCTCAGTCAGGGTAACTGTACCGATTGACTGCTGGAGTAAGAATAAAGCCATTCCTGCCCCTTCTTGTCACCAAGGACCTCCTATTGTTTTCTGTGACGAACAATGCAGGTGAAGAAGGGGAGCTAAGCCTGGGCTTTGAGCGGAGAACAGAGTAACACAAGGCCCCAGGGGTGAGGGCACGACCACCTGGAGACAGGACACCCTGGCAGCACAGCCCCACGTCAGAGCCTCCCCGGACTCCCATAGATGAGTCAGTGTGATCATCCCAGGCTCCCCGACCAGAGGCTGCCCGAGGACCAGCAGGGCTGGAAGCCAGTAGGTTCAGGAGGCCAAGGAGAGGCCCAGCTCACAGACAGTCCCACCTGGAGTCAGGCACATCCTACATGTGGACAGCAGAGCCAGGCAACGTCGTCATCGTCAGCACTGAGAAACAAGTCCTCAGGGGCCGGGCCACTGCTACCTTGAAGCCCTGAACTAGCCACTTCCACCCTGGCCACCAGGAGAGACTCTATCTCCTTCCAAAGACTGGGAAAGGTAACAGCTATCCTGTACCGCAAGAGTGGCTGGTACACACCATCCACTGAGAAGTCAAGGTCACAGAACAATACCACACACAAGCCACAGGTGTCTCCCACCCTCAGCCCAGCAGGGACTTGAATGTGAGACACAGAACAGTTGTCCGATAACCCAATGTTGTATTCAACTCAAAAGGCTGGGAGACTGGGCCAGCGAAATGGCTCAGTGTTGGTCCAGTGGGCAAAGCCACTTGCCATCAAAGCCTGAACCCTGAATTTCGTCTTCGGGACCGATGTCGTGGAAGCAGAGAACTGCCTCCTCTAAGATGCCTTCTAAGGGCGCACACATCTTCTCACGCTATATACATAAATATTAGAGAAAACTTACCAACAGCCAGGTGTAGCCACTGAGGCCCCGACCGACCGCAGCACTGGAGGCCCAGACCCAGGACCTGACAGCACCCACCCAGAACAAACTACACAGGACTGTTGGAATTTGGAAAGTTTTTGTTTTCTTTTTCCCACACATTTCCGGGTTTGGGGTGTTTTCCAAGACTCAGACACATTTGTTAACAAAGAGAAAAAAAGTGGGGGAGCAGGGAGCCCATGGGCGGGGAAGTGACCCCAGCCATCCGCAGACACAGCCTCACCCCCTCCCTTCCCTGCACCTGCAGCGAGCTGGTGCCACAGACCGCAGCTCTAGTACCTCGGTTATTTGTTTTTAATATATATCTGCATTTGCCTTTCCCCTCCCCCCGCCCCCCCCACCCCGCTCCTCCAGCGGCTTCCCAGCAATGCACGTTGCCCGGCAGCGACACACACAACAGAGGCCTTGACCAGGCCCAAGCCCCATCCCTGGGCGGCCCCAGGCAGGAGCTTCTCCTTTTGAGGGGACTTGGAGCACTAGGAGAATGAACCCCACTGCCCGGACCCAGCCACCCAAGCTGGGCCTCTTCTCCCGGCGCGTCTCTGGAAATCCAAAGGGAGGGAAGCAGAGAAAACAGAAATCTTAAAAAAAAAAAAAAAAAAAAAAAAAAAAAAGAAAAGGGGGGGAAGGAAAAAAAGGGAAAAAAAAAAAAAAAAAAAAAAAAAAAAAAAGAAAAGGGGGGGGGGAGAGTGAGGAGGGTAGGGACAAGAGACACAGCAAGCCTGAACCGGGACAGGAGGGCTGGGAAGGAGAAGGAAGGCAGGAGGAACAGGGGAGGAAGAAAATCGAGGGAAATAAACGGACGGCGCAGTGGACACTTTACAAAACCCCAGCCTTCCTTCCCGCCCAGCCCCACCAAAATAAAACTACCCCCCCTTAAAAAAATAAATCAACCCAGGGCTGTGAGCACGTGCCCTGCCTGACAGGTGCAGAGCTGAGAAGGACAGCCAGCCCCAGAGCTGACGGTGCGGCGCCGTGGGCAGCGGGAGGGAAGGGGATGAGCACGTAGTTATATTCCTTTTCTTTTTTTTTTTTTTGCGTTTCCTCTTCGTGGGAGAAGCCTGAGGCAGCTGGGGAGAGAGTCCCCAGGTCCCCCTGCAGGGAGAGGGCCGCACCCTCCTCCCGGGCCCTCCCGGAAGGAGCAGTTGGCAGTGGGGCGCGGTGCCTGGACTGGGTGCTCAGACGTAATACTCCTTGTCTTTGTTCTTCTTGGCCTTGCTGGGCGTCTTGGGGGCAGCGGGGGCCTTCTCCTTCACCACCGCCCCATTGCTCTGGGCCGAGTTACTGATGTAATTCCGGCTCTGGTCCACTTGGTAGGAGCCCTCGTCGCGGTTGCGGTACTTGTACATGGCGTAGAGAAGGATGAGGATGCAGAGCGCCGCCGCCGCCACGATGCCCACCACCATGCCCGTGGTGCTGCTGGACTCACGGATCACCTCCACCGCGCCCGGCGGGCCGCGCTCCCCCGGCCCCGTGGGGTTGGCTGTGGGCAGACGGGGGAAACCGGGGGCTGAGGTCACGCCGGGGCGCAGGGGAGGCGGCCGCCGCGGCTCGAAGGCCGTGGGGACCCCGGGCCCCAGGGGTGGGTTCTCCAGCAGTGGCTGCAGCGGGTCTCGGTGGTTCATTTTGCCCGCAGGCAGGTTGGGGGCCGGGGCGGAGGGCGCAAGTAGCACCCCGGGGGCGCCCGTGGCCCCATCTGTCCTGAGGTTGGGTCGGGGCACAGGCTTGCGGGGCGACAGGAGGGTGGTGCGGTCCGTGACCAAGGGGAAGGTGGTGTAAAAGTCCTCGTCGTCCGTGGGGGGGAGGCTGGAGTCAAAGACCTCCCCGGAGGCGAAGCCCGAGGCCTCCACGGGCTCCTCGCAGTCGCTGTCGTCGCGCTCAGCCTGGCACGGGCCCCCCGAGGACGGGCGGCGCGCGGCGGGCGGGGGCAGGGTGTCTTGGGTGGCACCCACGCCCGTGAGAAAGGGGTAGAAGGTGGGGGGCGGGGGCACGAAGGGGGACCGGGTGGCCACGGGAGGGGGGTCTAAGGAGTCCTCCGTGATAATGGGCAATATTAACTCTCCTCCTAGAAGAAGAAAGAGAAGAGAGAAGAGAGGGCGTCAGCGAGGGCCGGGGCGCGGGCGGCCGGCACAGAGAGAGAAACAACAGCCTCACACCCAAATCGGTTCAATCGGCTTTGGCGGAGACTAGCGCGGGCCGGGCCCGCCCGCCAGCCGGCCAGCGCCTGCGCTTTAAGCGGGCTGCGGCTCGGATGCCCTGGGCACCCCACGCGCGGGCTCTGTGACTCTGGGTTTTGGTCTTTTTGTTTCGTCTTAAGAAACCAAACGGAACAGAAAGGAAAGGAAATTGAAAAGAAACGGAAATTTTTTTTTTCTACTGGTTTAAGGCTTTAAAAACATACAACAGCAGCATTTAAACAAACCTAACAACAATAGCTTTTAGGATTTTTTTCTATATATTTCTTTTTGCTTTTTTTTTTTTTTTTTGCTTTTGTTTTTAAAAAAGAAGATAGCATACCACGGAATTCAGGCAACTTACATCAACAAATAGGCCGTGTGATTTTAGCATGAAGAAAAAAATTACAAACAGAGCTGTGTAAGCGGGTTCTCCCGAAAAAAAATAAGAAAAAACAACTTTTCCGTACAACGTTTTCTGTCTATCTGTTTGGCATCTCCCTCCCTGATGTACTCCCTGGACAGCCTGCTTCCTCCAGAAAGCTTGCTCTCCTCCCTCTCTCGAGCCCTCTTCCCCCTCCTTAAAGACAAGGCTAAAATTCGCACTGTGCGGGCTGGGGCTGGGAAGTGGCGCCACTCAGTGTCATCGTGGGAAAAGGAGGGTCGGTAAGGGGCATGGAAGGACGGTGGCGGCGGCGAGCCTATGTGGGTGTGAGCTTGGGGAGGGGGCTGGCCATAGGGAGGGCCTTGGGGCTAATTTCGGTGGCCACGGGAGAGGAGACTTGGGACGGGAATGCGTGTGTGGAGGGAGGGTCAGGCACACTGAAGCTGGGGGTTGGTCCATAGGATTCGGGGAGGTGTGGGGGGGACTGGGAGTGGGGGGGGCTGGGCGTCACGTGGTTTCTGAGCTAAACCTAACTCTCCCCTTTCTTCACCCTCCACCTCTGACCCCCACTGACTTCCCCGCCCACCCCCTCCCCAGAACCCCCATGGACCGCCAGAACCTGGCCAGGTTATGACTGCCTCTGGCCCTCTTATTATTGTTAAAACAATAATAAAACAACGGAAAGAAGAAGAAAGCAAAAAAATAAAAGAAAATACATACACAGCCATCAGGGAGGGACTCGCTGGCTAAAATAGGGCCCCTGGTAACTAATGGGGGAGACCTTGTGGTGGGGAGGGTGTAAGTCTTCCCTTCAAGTCTGAAAACTTCAGTACCCTGGACAGAAACTGCAATTCCCATCAGCTCCCCATGGGCGGGAACTTTAGCTCCCTTTAGCCCTTCAGGGGGCATAAACTACAAAAACTACAACTCCCATCAGTCTCTGGGTCAACAGCTACAATTCCCATCAGCCTCCTGAGCCTCTTCACTAACCAAAGTGCTCCAGGCTTCTGACCTCAGGTAGATAGAAGCTGGGTAAGCTCTAGGCTAGGAGGGCTCAAACTCTGGCTTTGAAGGTTGCCTCTGGGCTTCTCGGGAATGGAGTTGAAGACTTCTTCTCTGGCTCTACTTCCAGCTCAGACTACACCCCATCCCTGCCTGGGCACTTCACTTGGCATCTGCCCCCACAGTCCCACACCCCTCTGTGGTAATCATCCCAAGGCTTCCATCCCGCAGCCAGACCAAGCCTCACATCCAGGGTTTCACTGCCCTGCCTACCCATGCCTTCTGGCTGGCTCCACTTCTATACCTCTGCTGGCCCTTCCCACCAGCAGCTCCATCAGTCTCAGAGGCTACAGCAAAAGCTTGCCACTGAAGCAGAAACCCTGCCAAGCTTCTCGAGCTGCACTTCCCATCAGGCTCCTTATATGCAAAGTTTAAAGCTCCAGAATTCCTAGCCCACCACAGGCTTAGCCATAATGAAATGTTGAACCAAGAGCATTTGTGAAGCCAGGACTGTCCAGTTCCACCGGTGGAAGCCAGGACCTCGTGAAT